CCGGAGACACTTCGATCTCCGTCATAGGGAGATACTTCAGTCTCCGTATATTCATCAGCGGCTGTCCCCCGAACAGCTTCAAGCGGACAGTGATCTCTGTGTGCGTAGTTCCGATTTGACGAGGACATTCATGCGAATTTACAGTTCTACAGCTGCGGCGCCGAATGCGCGAGCCTTTTCTCCGTACCAGTGCAATGCCAGCGGACGACCCTCATAGCACGGAAGCCAATCCGCACATCCCTCCCGCAGGCGGACGTTGCATTTTCAACGCATTGCCCGACGAGCTCATCGCACACGTATTCTTGCTCGGGATGCCAGCAAATACCGTCTACTACGTAGAGGATGAAAACTTTCAGCTCGTTCGTGATCTAGTGCGTCACAGTGACGTTGAAGGGGACGTCCAAACTGAAGACGTCCAAACTGAGGACCTCGAATTCGACTTCGAGCTTTGCGTGTCGCATACCTGTCGACGCTGGCGCGGTATTGCTCTTGATACCCCGCGGTTATGGACCACCATCGAATTCACTGACTCAACGGCGCCGTCGTTTACCAAGGAAGCTGTGTATCTGACGCGCTCGCGCAACGCGCCCATAGACGTCTTGGCGGTCTTGCTGGACACAGATAGCGTGTGCGATGACGAGCAATTCCCGGATGGGCAGACCTTGGTCAACAGCGCTCGTGAAATAATCACTATCCTGGCGCTTCTGGAAGCACACTCCTTTCATCTGCGCTCCCTCCGAATCAATATTCCTAGCTATCCCAGCATGTATGCTGTACGCTGTGGCCTGCATGGCTTCGGGCCCGCGCCGATCCTCAAAGTCATGGAGTTAGAAAATCTGCACCTGGACGGGAGGTTCGACCGGCATTTCCACGCGGCGATGTTGCAAGATATATTACACCAAGACCTGGTCCCCTTCCAAGGTGTCACACCAAAGCTGGAATGCATTGTTCTGTGCGCAATGAAGCTGAGCTGGTCGAACACCGCAATAATGCGGTCTTTGAGGCGGCTGTACCTTGATTTGGACGAACGCTTGGCCCCCAGCCTTACCCAGTTCTCTCAGCTACTCCATGACACGCCAAATCTGGCTACCCTCGCGCTCCGGAATGCGGGACCTAAACGCGGTGATATGCTTCGACCCGTTACCACCCAGGATGACGCCGACCCAGGCTCCTCGCTTTCCTCTACCTCCGTCGTAAATCTTGTGATCCAGTCCTGTGATGCTGAATACGTTGCATCGCTCATCCAGCGCCTGAGGCTTCCGTCGCTTGTTCTCGTTGCCCTTGCGGTCACAGGTGACAGCTGCACCAGCATTCTCAGAGCGCTCAAAGAGCCTACCCGGCCTTTGCTCGCCGGAGTGCAGGTACTGAAACTGTGCGCCGTGGAATGTGCCGACTTCAGTCTCTGGAAATTAGCCCTTGGGACTGCGGATCAGTTGTTCTGGTTGGACGTTGACGTGCGCCGTTGTGGGGGTGCTCAGGGGTGGTGCGGTATGCTGTGCGCCAACACCACGGACGCGCAGAATGGCCGTCTTCCAGAATTCCTGCCCGCCCTCGAGCATCTCTCGGCTGCGGGGCTCAGCGGGAAGCAGCTTCACCGCATTGTGAAAATGCGGATGGACGTCGGCCGACCTATAGCGCAGCTGTTCATGGGCCCGCACGACAAGGTGAACGCGCGAAACCGACGATGGCTACAGGAGCATGTGCCTGATTTCATGTCTCCCGAGGAGCGACGGAAAGACGATGATGCGAGAGTGGGTGGGTCTAATGATTCAGATTACGGGGACGTCGGCAATGGGGAAGGTGGGTTCGGTCTGGGGCATGAAGAACTGAATGTCATTATCCTCATGGGGCACATCTTTTCACGTCGAAAGGCTGCCGCTCGATGATCCGTCGATCTCTCGACGTAAGGTAAGATGAGAACTTGCGCGCATTG